AATTGAAAAAAAAACTTTGTATCAAATTTCTCAGATAAGGGTTGGGTATCCAAGATATAAAGTCAACCAACAGAACATATAAGACCCAAATTTATTCCCCAGTGGATAAGTCAGCAGTTTTCAAAGTGTGAGACCTTGTCAGGGGGCTTGCAAGATCAAAACTATTTTCATAATAATGCTATGATATTTTAATTTCTAATATAATAATGACTCATAAAACCCACATCAACTGAGGCTCATTAGGGATCCTCAATAATTTTCAAGAGTGTAAATGAGATCAAAAAGTTTGAGGACCACTGAGAAAAGTGATCAAAGGTTAAGAATAAATGTCGTCAGAACAAGATTGCAAACTGTTAACCATGTGGATGAATGCTCCAAATCACTTAAACAAGAGAAATATAAATCAAAATGACCTTGAAGTTTCACCTCACACCAGGCAAATTGGCAAAAATGGCAAAAGATGAGAAGAATTGATTTTGGAGGGGTCACAGAAATAATGCATTGTTGGTGTAGCTATGGGTTACTATAACCACTCTGGAAAGCAACTGGGAATTATGCAATTAAAGTGGCTAAACTGTCCATGCCCTTTAATCCACAGGTATATGCTAGCATATACCCCCTGGAAGTCATTAATAAAAAGGATCCATATACACCAGAGTATTTATAGCCAATGTTCCTCATGCCTGCAATTCTTTCTTCATCTCCAACTACTCACTTTCTTAGCTACCTTGAAATCCCAGCTTAAATCCCACCTTCTAAAAGAAACCTTTCCCAAAATCCCCCTTAATGTTAGTGCCTTACCTAAATTGACTAGCTCCAATTTATCCCATATATATTTTGTCTGTACATAGATGTGTTTATGTCGTCTCCCTCATTAGACTGTGCACTCTCCTCAAGTCTCAAGTCTCCTTGAGAGCTGGGACTCTTTTGTTGTTTTTGTTTTTTTTAAATCCCCAAAACTTAGCAGTGTGCCTGGCACATATTAAGCCCTTAATAAATTCCTGTTGACTGTTTATTGACTCACCAACAGCTAGAAACAAGGGAAATGCCCATCTGTTGAGGAATAGCCAAAGAAATTACAGTACAGGGACATTAGAGAATATCAGTGTGCTTTAAGAAACAACAGATATGATAAATACAGAGGTATGGAAAGACTTACATAATCTGATACAAAGTGAACCAGAACCAAGAAACACCATGTAAGATGACTACAATAATGTACATGGAGAGAACCATAACAGTTCTATTTTAAAATGTAAAAGTATGCTCAGCTTGCAGGCTATACCAAAACAGGTGGCAGGCCAGATTTGGCCCTTGGACCATAATTTGCTGCACCCTGCATAGGCCAATGAGATTGTATTGATTCCAACCAAATTCTAGATTATATTTTTAAAAGAATGGTTTATGAGCATTTAGAAATGAAGGCAGTAATGAGGAAGAGCCAGAATGGCTTCACTAAGAACAAGACATACCAAACTAACCTAAACTCCTTTTTTAATAAAAGGCAGCTAGGTGGGGCAGGGAACAGAGTGCCAGGCCTGGAGTCAGGTAGACTTGAGTCTAAATCCAGCCTCTGACACTTACTAACTTGTATGATGCTGGGCAAGTCATTTAACCTTGTTTGCCTCAGTTTCCTCATCTATAATATAAACTAGAGAAGAAAATGGCAAACCACTACAGTATCTCTGCCAAGAAAACCCAAAAAAGGGGTCACTAAGGGTCAGTCATGACTGAAATGACTGAACAACAACAAATGAAGTGAATGAGGTACAAGTAACATAAATAGATTTCAGTAAATGTTTAACAAAGTGATTCATTTACACAAAAAGAAAGGTAAGAGACTGCATGAGAGCAGTTTGGTGGCCTCAGAAGAAGCTGAATGACCTGACCCAAAGAATAACAATGAATGGGTTAGTATCACCTTGGACAGGGGACTCACTCCAGGAGAATGGCAGATGCTGTTCAACATCTTTGTTATTGAGTACATGTTAATTTATCTATCCTCAGGGGCAGCTAGGTGGCAGTGGATAGAGCACCGGCTCTGGATTCAGGAGGACCTGAGTTCAAATCCGACCTCAGACACATAACACTTACTTGCTGTGTGATGCTGGGCAAGTCACTTAACCCCATTGCCTAGTCAAAAAACAAACAAACAAAAAAAAACAAAAAACCATTTATCTATCCTCCCTGCCCACCCAAGCAGGTGTGACCTTAGGTTACCAGTAAAATAACCTTACTATTTCCATGTTCTCACCCTATCCAGGGTATGAGATATTTGATAATCAAGTCCAAGCTGTTCTAACATTAAAGTTCCCCTGAGGTGATTGCAATTGGGGAACTGCCCTTCATAATGATGTCCCCTCCCAAAGTAATCCCTCCACAGCATGAGATCACTCTAGAACACAACAAAGGTGCTGAATTAGCATTTATTAAGCACCTACTATGTGTCAGTCACCATGAATACAAAAACAAACTAAACAGTTCCTGCCCTCCAGGAGCCTATTCTTACTCTCCATAGTTTGAATACATGCTTAGGCTTGAATTTGCTTCAGTCTTGCTTTGTGCTGATTGACACAGCAATTGGTCCAAGCCAAATGTGGCCTCTTTTCTTCTGGCCATTCTACTCAAGGTCATTTCTTTGAGGTTTTTTAACTGAATGTGATAGCCTTACAGCTGTGTTGCTAACCCAACATAGAATTTACATTGTTATTGTTATTCGTAGTTGTAATTTTTTTTTCCAAGGATTTACTTGTTGAAGTTGTTTCTGGGGAGCTTTTCATATTAAATTCTCAAAGGAGGCTTGCTTTTTCCAGTAGAGATTCTTAGTTGTAGGTGTTCTGAATACCCATTTTTAGGGGTAAGGGAACCTTTAATAGTATGTGCAGTTTAATGAATAGTGTAAGTGGTCTTGGGTTAAAAGTGCAGTTTTCCTTGATTTTTGATATATAAATTCAAACTGCCTGGTCTCATTTTAAGTAAAAAAATGTGTGCAATTCAAATTGGTGTTCCTTGATAGGTGACTGTTTACTAATTATCTGCTTGTAAAATCACCTCTTATTCTGGTAGAAGTCTCATATGCAGTCCATTCCTTTTCCAATGATTCTGAGAAATTTACTTATACAATTACTTTTTTTTTTTTTACATTTTGGGGAGAGTACAATGAAATGGGCAGCAGACTCTATGGCACTATTCTCGAGGGCGTGAAACCTGTTACACATTGCTAGTAAAATTAAACCTTAACTGTACAAAGTTCTCGTTAGAATTGGCTGCTGAAACTTTTCCACAAACTTACTGAGGCAGCAGTTGTAATTCTACCTTTCTCACCCTGAGTTGGCCTTCCTGGTTAATTTTTAGAAACCCCTACTTTTGCTACTGGTCCATGTTCCCTGACCCTATCACCCCAGCAGCAATGTGACAGCTGCCCCAGCAGGCACTTTATCTAAAGGCCTTATATAAACCCAGGCACATGCCTTTGACCAGGACTCACATTGGCTTCTCTGGGCCACCACTTGGCAAGCTGGTGAGGGAGCTGACCTGGGACTCCATCTGTGAGTGAATTTCTATTAATTTGCCCAAACCTTTCTGTGATGTGCTGGGCTGTGTCATAAAACATTTTAATACATCCTGGGGTTGCATTCACCAGAACTCACCATAAATCTGCATGACAACAATGATTTTTAAATTTTCTAAGCTGAATATTCCAGTTTTCATCTATTTGTAAAGTTGGAAATGAGTGTCATGGAATAAGAATAGAGCAAAAAAGAGAAGAGACAGGAGTCTGCAAAAACCATATCGGGAGCTTGAATTACTCCTAACAATATTCTCAAACACTACTAAAGAGATAGTTTACAAGCACTGAGAATGGGAAGTAAAGATCATTAAAAGCCAGAATGGCTTTATCAAGAATAAAAAATAGAATCTTGCCAGCCTAAGCTCACTGTCTCTATTGAAGGTAACTAGACTTGTAGAACAGGGGAAGGCTGTAGATGCAGTTTACTGGAACTGCTGGATTTGAGCAAAGCATGTAACAATGGTTCTCATGTTATCTTTGGCGACAAGATGGCGATGTAAGAGCTATGTGATGGTACGGTGAAGTGGATCTGACTGACCCCAAGAGTAGCCATTGATGGATCATCAGCTTGGAAGGGGATGTCCATCGGACTGTCTCAGTTATCTGTCCTCGGCCTTAAATTCTTCAACATTGTTGTCAATACTTTGTAACAAGACATAGGGGCTATGTTTCTCAAATTTGTAGATGGCAGAGGAATAGATAACCTATTGGGTGACAAGAGTTAGTTTACAAAAAACCCTTTGTCAAGATGACATAATGGCCTGAGCCAAATAAGATGAAGGGAAGCATCAGTTCACACACACAAATCTTGTATAAATAAAACCAACATAGCCAGGAATAGATGGAATGCAGAAAACTGGGGAAAAAACTTTGATGGACAATCTCTTTGAGAGGATGTGATTGTGTTGGAATACTGCTGTGATATAGGAAATGATGAACTGGTTGATTTAGAAAAAAAACAAGGAAAGACTTGGCCCTATGAAGGAAGATGCTATCTACCTCCAGAGAAAGAGATGACAAGTGGAAATATGCATAGTACCATCTTACTTATATGTGTATGTTTATAGATATCTATGTAGGGTTGTGTGTGTATCTATATCTATATACACATATATGTGTATGTATATCAGTGTTGAATACTAGCCTTTCTTTAGGGAGGGGAGGAAGGAAAAAAAAGAGTAAAAAGTGCACAGCAGAAAAGAAAAGAAAACCTACAAGGGAGCAAAGAAAAGCTGGGTAGCTTTGAAGACAATGTGTAGTATCAATTATATAGGTTTTCTTGAAATGGACATTTATACTTTTATATTGAATCTTCTCTTATGTTCTGCTATGTACATGGAACTGTTCTCTTTTTTTCTTTTCTCATTTTGTATTTAAGTTTAAAATGAATAAAAAATTTATGAAATAAATAAAAATAAAATATGTATCATACCATTTTATGTCCAAGAGCTAGATTAATAGTTCTTAGGATTAAACTACCTTCCTTCTTATCTCAACCATAGGCCTCACAGTCCTTATTATATAATTCAGCTGCCACTAACCCACCATCCAAAAACTACGGTGCTTCCTTCTAATTCTATAGTGACTAAGGATTGGGGCCATAACCTTTTTAGGGTTTTAGTCTTTTTATTTTGGCCCACTGCTTGGCATTTTCATATCCTGGACAGGGACTAATGATATGGTTTAATTGGTCTAAAAGAAATATTTCTACATCCAGAGACTGCTGACCATTCCATCACAAAATGGCTATGATCCCATTTCCTAAGTTAGTGGAATGGATGCTTGCCCCTTGTCCATTCTCTACACCTGAGTTCCTGACTGATCAGTTGCCATTGCATCCACGATGGTGGCCTATCTGTGAGCTGCATAATTCCTCCAACAACAGTTACCAAAGCACCTTCTTCCAAATTCCCAGGGCTACATCCCCCATCTGGTGTCATAAAGCAGGATGTATTAAAGAGCAGTAACATATTCTAATGTTGGAGACAATTCAAGTTAAAATATAGACACACACACACACACACACACCCCCTAAGACAAGTTCTTCTCCCTTGTTCAGAGTGAGAATATGCGTAATTTTTTATGGGAGGCTATGGAAAGGAGGCCACAAAGGAAAAAAATACTGGATGGCCAACAAAGGTAAACATGTGCTCACAACACATATATGCAGACAGCATACCTATGTACCCACTCCTCTGTAACAATAGCTTTCAGGGTACTGACTGATCAAAGAAAGGTACAAAGTAAAATCTCTTTCCAACATTATAGTTGGAAAAGTCTATAGAGTGACAAATCAGGAAAAAAAGGAAGTCATTCAAGTCAAACCCATAACACTGTGGAAAATTGGGACTTTCAGGGACAAAGAAGCTGAACAGCATCTTCTCTGCCTTCTCAGGGGCCAGAAGGGCCTAAAGTGTCCCTAGACCTATGCTAGGAACTGAGCCAGTAACTGCTCTTCTGAATCATGGTTTTTCAGCACTAACATGAGAGAAAACAGAAATACCTTAACCACTCTCTCCCTGAAGAATGTATTAAGGAAATGAGATATCTCAATGGGCCAGACAGACTGAGGGGTGTAGTTCTCAGGACACAGACCACAAGGCCTGAGTGGTCATGATACAAGGTGACTTCTGGCTAAGGGAAGAAGAGGGGTGATAGTGGTAATCATTAACGGACATCAGGATATTATTATGTTAAACACTCTACCTGCCTCAAGATCCAGTCTCTTCTTCCCAGATATAGGTCAAAATGACTGTGAACCATAAATAGTTGTCATCGTACTGTCCTCTAGGCCAGTAACTGTCTACTTAGATGTTCTTAAAAAATTGTCCCCAATTCATTTCAGAGAACTCAGACGCCTACATTATACATCCTGAAGAAGGGGCACTGACCACCCAAAACTGCACTGATCCCCTGAAGTACAATCTTCATTTTCCTGGGATATGAATTCCATCCTTTCTAAAGAGGCAAAAATCATGTACTCTCCCCCTTAAAGATAACTATTGACAACAGTAACAGTAAAAACTTTAGATAACAAATAGCAAGAAAAAAAGATTAGTCAATCACAAAAGAAACCTCAAGAAAGGTTTCATAGGCACATGGAACTCAGTTGACAGCCATATACAATAAGACAAACATAGGCTCTACCTTTGAGGACCTCACAATTACTTTATGGGATTTTGATCCCCAGCTGAATTTTCTGAGATTTAGTAAGAGCAAAGTTGTCTGCAGATTCCTCATAATCAAAATCTGCACAAGGTTAAACTCTGGTGTGTACTCTCTGATGTGTCATAAGGCCAGACCTATGCCTGAAGACTTTCCCACATTCTTTACATTCATAGGGCTTCTCTCCAGTATGAATTCTCTGATGTTGAGTAAGAGCTGAGCGTTGATTGAAGGCTCTCCCACATTCATTACACTCATAGGGTTTTTCTCCAGTATGAATTCTCTGATGTTGAATAAGGGAAGAGTTCTGGCTGAAGGCTTTCCCACATTCCCTACAGTGATAGGGTTTTTCTCCAGTATGAATTCTTCGATGTTGAACAAGGTGTGAGCTCCTACTAAAAGCTTCCCCACAGTTACTACATTCATAGGGTTTATTTCCAGTGTGAATCCTTTGATGCTGAATAAGGTCTGAGCTACCCCTAAAGGCTTTCCCACATTCACCACATGTATAGGGCTTCTCTCCTGTATGAATTCTTTGATGCTTCTTAAGATCAGAGCCTTGACTGAATGTTTTCCCACACTGAGTACATTTGTGAGGTTTCACTCCCATATGAATTCTCTGATGCTTTCTAAGATCTGAGTTCTGCTTAAAAGTTTTCTCACATTCGTTACACTCATAAGGTTTCCTACCAGTTTCATTGTTTTGATGCACATTAGAAGATGAATTCTGTCTGGAGTTTTGATCATTTCTAGCAGATACATAGGGTTTCTCTACTCTATGTATAACTAGATCTGAGTTCAAATAGCAGCTACTCAGACACTCATATTTATGGCTATTTTCTTCTAAGGCAACTTTTTCAGGGATGGTCACTACCATAAAATTTCCATCCTGGGAAAGGGATCTGTCTTTCTCCATTTTGTTTCCCTATTGCTTGTCTAAAGTGCCTTCACATTCACAGGCTTCTCCAACCTTGGCTCCTTTGGAAACATCCACTGGGAATCTTCTAGATATCCTTTCCTGTGACTCCACTTCTTCAGAAAATTCCTGCTTTGGAACAGACCACTTGGTACTAGTCTCAAAATCTGAAATGATCAACAGAAAACACAAATGTCATGTATGCTGGAAGAAAGGAACCTTCTTAAAAGGAATATTAACAAGGGTTCACATCTCAGAGTCCTTTGTATACATTATCTGTTGTGGTTATTACAACCACCCTTTGAATAAGCAGGAAGTATGATTATCCTATTTTTACATATTAGGAAAGCAAGGATAAGAGAGGGGAGAAGATAAGAGATTTAGAGTGGGAAGGCTCTTTCCAGGCAATCTATTCCAATATCCTCTCTTACAGATGAGAAAACAGGCCAAGAGAGATTAAATGAATAGATCAACATCACATAGTTAGTGGGTTGGGGAGCTGGAACTAAAATGCAGATTCTAAATCCATCACCATTAAGGGGCAGCTAGGTGGCGCAGTGAATAGAGCACCAGCCCTAAAGTCAGGAGGACCTGAGTTCAAATCTGGCCTCTGACCAAACACTTGACACATACTAGCTGTGTGACCTTGGGCAAGTCACTTAACCCCGATTGCCTCACTAAAAAGAAAAATAAAAAAATTAAATTAAATTAAAAATTAAAAAAAAAAACTAAGTCCATCACCATTTCATTGAATGTCACATTGCTTTTAGACAAAGAACAGTCACAATTAAATTATATGCTGTGCAAGATATGCATGCAGTCTATACATGTTTCAGTGAGCTTTCACAAACAGTATCCCAATCTAGAGGAAATGGTAATAGGAAACAAGGGTGAAAACACAGGTGCCAAGTGATGGAGGCAGGCAAGAGGTATGTGGCAGAAAGGACAATGTAGCACAAAAAGTGAACCAGTCTATGACAATAAGAAAGAAGAGACAAATCAGGGAACTTAGGAAGCCAAAGACAGAGGGAATGGTCTCGTATACAAAATATTCATAACAGCACTTTTTATTATAACAAAGAACTTGAAGGAAGTGCGAGCCCATCACATGAGGAATGAGTGAACAAACTGTGGTATATGAAAATAATGGAATATTATTGTGCCATAAGAAATTATCAATATGAAGCACTCAGAAAAGCTTGAGAAGCCTTTCATGAACAACAGTTCATTAAGAATGAAGCAAACTCCAAAGCACAATTAACATGATTGCTATTATGTAAAGGAAAACAGTGTTCAAGGATTTCAGAACTCTGAGCAGTGGAGTGATGCTGGTAAAATACGTGTCTCTCAGCAGAGGGCTGGTAAATTATAGCCATATATTGTCAATGAGCCATATATTGTCAGGCAAGTCCAACGTATGTGTCTTGCTCATCTGTACATTATAAGTTACAAGGGAGGGTTGGGAGTGAAGGAATTGGGAACTGAGTGTGATGAAAAAAGATTGTTCAGTTGTGTCTGACTCTACAAGACCTCACAGAGGTTAAGTGACTTGCCCAGGGTCACAGAGCTAAAAAGTGTCTGAAGCAAAATTTGAACTCAGGTCTTCCTGACTCCAGGACCAGCACTCTATCCACTAAGCCAGCTAGCTGCCTCAAATTTATGTTACATAACCTCAATTGGGTCCTCACTACACCAAGGCATTCCTTTTGAACCTCCTAAATCAATTCACTACCCCACTCACAGCAGCACCTTATCTAAAACTAGTCATCCCTCCTCATACTTCCAATGACTCCCAGACCCGACTCTCTCAATTGAAAACCTTGCCCTATATTTCAATGAAAAAATTGGGGTCATTTGTCAAGACCTCCTTCTTTTCTCCTCCCTCCTCCTCTCAGATCACTCACAGGTCTTCTGCCATTAGCTTTACTCCTGGATCTCTTGAAGAGAGAGCTTACCAAGGCTCACCCCTCTACCTGCTCAAGAGATCCCATTCTTTCCTGTCTCCTCTAACAGACTGCCCTCTCTGTCATCCCCACTCCATCACTTATCTTTAATCTTTCCCTGGCTTTAATCTTCTGGCTGCTGCCCTGCTGCCTACCAACATGTCCACATCTCCTCTGTCCTCAAAAAACCTCACCTGACATGTCCATTCTCACTAGCTATCACTCTCTATTTTTCCTCCCTTTCCTGGCTAACCTCCTTGAGATGATCTTTTACAATAGGTGCCTCCACTTCCTTCCCTATCACACTCTCTCTCTCTTTTTACCTCTCTGTGGTCTGGCTTCTGACCTCACCATTCAACTGAAACTCCTCTCTCCTAAGTTACTAACAATCTCTTAATTGTCAAGTCTGATGACCTTTCCCACCCTTCATCCTTCTTGAACTCTCTATAGCCTGTGACAATGTCAGTCACCCTCTTCTCCTTGACATGCTCCTCTCCAGGTTTCACCCACACTGCTCTCTCCTGCTTTTTCCTCCTGCCTGACTGTTCCTTCTCAGTCTCCTTCACTGAACATTTGTCAAGGCCAGCACTAATTATAGGTGTCCCCCAAGGCTCTGTCCTGTGACCTCTTCTCTTCTCCCTCTATACTATTTCTTTTGGTGATCTCATCAGCTCCCATATACTCAATTATCACCTCTAATTGGATGATTCTCAGATCTACCTAGCCAGCCCTAATCTCTTTCCTGAACTTCAGGATCTCATTTCCAACTGCCAATAAGACATCTTAAACAAAATGTTCCATAGACATCTTAAGCTCAAAATGTCCAAAACTGAACTCATTACTATTCCCCCTAAATCCTCCCTTCTTCCAACTTCATTAGTACTACCCAAAGCACCCCTTCCCAGGCTCAAAACCTAGGGGTCATCCTGGACTCCTCACTCTCTCTCGCTTTCCAATCAAAAGGGCTATCAAGTCCTGTGCTTTTCACCTTCCTAACACCTCTAGGATGTGCATCCTTCTCTCCAATGGCAGTGCTATTAGCCTGGCACAGGTTTTCATCAGCTCTTGCTTAGACTAATGCAATAGCCTTATGGTTGATCTCTCTGCCTCAAGTTCCTCCCTATTTCAGTCAATCTTCCATTCAGTTGTAAGGCTGATCTCCCTAAAGCATATGTATGACTATTGCACTATTTCATTCAATAAACTCCAGTGGCCCTTCTTGGATGAAATATGAAAATTGTTTATCTGGCTCTTAAAACCTTTAAAAATCTAGCTTCCTCTTACCTTTCTAGTATTCTTTTGTTTGTTTTGAATTATTTTAATTAATTTTTTAATTTTCAATTCTAAATTCTCCCCCTCCCTCTAGTTGAGAAGGCAAGCAATGATACTCATTATACATGTGAAGTTGAAGTCATGCAAAATATATTTCCATATAAGCCATGTTAAAAAAAAAAAGCAAGAAAAATTAAAAAAGTAGAAAAAATATGCTTCAAGAAACCCTCAGGGTTCATCAGTTCTCTCTCTGGAAGTGGACAGTATTTTTCATCACGAGTGTTTTGGAATTATCAGATCTTTAATTGATCATTAACAACAACAGCTCAGTCTTTCACAGTTGACTGTGTTACAATATTGCTGCTACCGTGTCCAATGTTCTCCTCTTTCCAGGCTTCCTAAATCTTACCTCCCTGCACATACCAGAGTTCCAGTGTCATAGGCCTCCTTGATGTGCCTCAAACATAACTATGAATTTCCCACTCCTTGCATTTTTCACTGGCTGTCTCCCATGACTGGAATAGTCTCCCCAACCCTGCCTCCTGATTTTCATGCCTTCCTTTAAATCTCAGCTAACATTTTCTACAGGATGCTCTTCTCATTTTCATTATGCTGGTGCCTTCCTTCTGTTGACTATCCTCAATTTATACCATATAACATGTATCTTGTTTGTACACAGTTATTTGCACGCTGTCTTTCCCATTAGACTGTGAGCTTCTTGAGACCAGGGACTGTTTTTTGCCTTTCTTTATACAATCAGCACTTAGCACAATGCATGGCACACAGTAGGGGCTTAGTAATTGTTCATTAACTTACCTTGATGTCAACAAAGCACAAAGCAAATGTACTATAATAGCTTTGTGAGGCAGCTAGGTGGTGCCGTAGATAGAGCACCGGCCCTGGATTCAGGAGGACCTGAGTTTAAATTCGACCTCAGACACATAACACCTACTAGCTGTGTGACCCTGGGCAAGTCACTTAACCCCATTGCCTAGATAAAAATAAATAAATAAATAAAATAAAAATAGAAAAATATATAATAGCTTTGTAAAGTTGTTAATAAAAACACTAATGCAAAATTTGCTGGGGATAACTGAACCACACACAAAAAAAGGGAGAAGGAGGGGTTCTCATGCTTTAGAATCCCTGGATATATCATACATTTTCAAATACAGAGGACTATGGAATGTCAGTTAGATTAGTCTGAGAATGTTTCATGAAAGATGATTAAGACCTTGAACAGGTTCTTACAGGAGAAATATATACATATTTATGTGTATAGAAATATACATATACACACATACACACACATACACACACACACACACACACCTAACACTGAAGGCAGACGTAATAATGGTGACAATTATGACCTTCTAATGTACAAAATAATGTTAACACCTGAGATGATTGGGCTTTAAAATAAAAATCTCTCCACAGCTTCATGGAATCATCCACTTTAAATAGGTGAGGGCTTAAAAGATGATCTACTCCCACACCCTCACTTGACAGAAGAGAAATCTGAGGCCCAGACAAGTTACATGATTTGCTCAAAATCACATTGATTGGAATTGTCAAAGCCAGCACTGAAAACAATGTCCTTTGATACCAAATCCTCTTCCTCTTATATCATTGTTGTATATCACACTTCCTCTTAATCATTGTTGACAAGAAATTGAGGAGTCAGATGCTATTCTAACTGATTGAGAAACAAGCCCCATTCTCTTCACTCCCTTCTTCCTTCCCCTTGCTCCTCACCTCTTTCTTGCAGGAACTGGGGCTCTGGAGACTCACACTTGATCTGGGCGTTCATAGGCTGAAGCTGGACATTCAGTGCATTCTGTGCTGCTCTCAAGGGTGCCATCTTCTCCCAGGCCCCTGCCTCTCTCTGTGTGCTTGATGCAACCTGGAGATAATGAGATATGTTTAGGGTTGTAAAGGAACCACTATGAAAACAAAAACATCAATACAGAAAGGAAGCCCAGAGATACAGGACAGAGGAGAAAGAACTAGAGTTTTGTTTGTCAGGTTTAAAGAGACTGTATTAAGATTAACCATAAAACAACCCAGGAGGTTCCTTTTCATTACTAAACAGTTTGCTCCTTTCAGGAGAAAGGCTCAATTGGCACATGAAAGAATTAACTACAACAGAAATTTTTGTTGCTGATAAAAAGGAAATCTTCTGAAATTTGAGTTAATTATATTATATGGCTATTTGAACAACGAATGATTTAGTAAGATGAATGTACAAGAAAACTTCTAATAATTGTGGAAAAACTCCTATTTATATTTATCCATTTTTACCAATTAAAAATAAAGTGTAGGGGCAGCTGGGTGGCACAGTAGATAGAGCTCCGGCCCTGGAGTCAGGAGGATCTGAGTTCAAATCCAGTCTCAGACCAGAAAAATAATACCTACTAGCTGTGTGACTAGCAAGTCACTTAACCCCAATTGCCTCACCAAAACAAAAAAAAAAGGAAAAGGAAAAAAAGTAAGATTACCACAGTTAATCAACCAAAAATTATACAATAAAACTACCATATCCATAATATTACTTTAACTTTTAGAAACTATGAAAAACCACGTTGTGGCACAGTAACTGTGTTTAAGCATAAACTCTCAGTACAGTCTATTAGAGAGGATTTAGAATACAGAATATGCTGACTGAACAAAAGCTGGGAAAATGGGCTTACCTCCCTTGTGGTTGTGATAGAAGATAATAGCTGAAAGGAATCTTAAAAGTCATCTAGTCCAACCCTTTCATTTTACAGGATGAGGAAACTGAGGACCAGACAGTGGTCTTCCTCTAATACATGACTTGCTCTACTAAGTAGAAGAGACAGGATTCAAGCCCAGGTCTTCTGAATCCAAATCCAGTACATTTCATACTCAATTAATTTCCTCCCTCCCACTCCATGTTTATTCTCAGTCTTCATCTTCTTTGACCTTTCACCACATTTGGTACTGATAACTACCTGATAGCTTTCTAAAATTCTTTCCTCCTTTGGCTTCAGTAATTCCACACCATTCTTGTTCTCCTACCTTTCTGACTGTTCCTCTATGTTCTTCTCTGGTTCTTTTCTACATACTTACAAATATGCTTATCCCAGGATTCAGCTTTTGTCCTCTACTCTTTCTCCACACTCTCCCTCAGAGATCTCATTTACTTTCATGCAGACCAGCAATTAAACCAACCAGTTAAAAAAACTCAGTCATCTTTGATTTTTTCCCTAACTCCTTATATCTAGTCATTCACCAAGTCCTCTTGAATTTTCCTTCCTAATTTTTTTTTTCTTTCTAATTTCCCCTGCCCCTTCCATAATTCAGATTCTGGCCATTCCCCTTACCCCTAGGAGAGGAACTGTCTCATGTCTGCCTTTGTATCCCTATCACCTATCACCAATCCTGGAATACAGAAAGCACTTAAAATATTTGAAATGTTCATGATGGACAACTGAAGTTGCCTCCTAAAATGGTCTCCCTGCCTCTAGTCTTGCTTTACTAAGTCAACACACCACAGCAACAAAATTGCATTTTGGTTCAAAAAAACCATCACTGGCTCCCCAATGCTACTGATCAAGTCCAAACTCCTTAGCCTATCATGGAAGACCCTGTTTTATGTCTAGCCTTATCTTAAACAACAACCTAAATATAAGAATCCACCCCAAACTAGTCAAGGATCCTCTAAATACTGTATCTGTTTTCCTACCTTTTCTCACATTATTACCTCTGCCTTCCGTGTGAGGTATGTGTGTGTGTGTGTGTGTGTGTGTACACATTTCTATACATACATATACACACACATACATATATACATACATATACATATACATATATATATATATAATTTCTATAAAATTTCTCCTATAAGAACCAGTTCAAGGTCTTAATCACCTTCCATGAAACATTCTCAGACTAATCCAACTGACATTTCACAGTCCTCTGTATTTGAAAATGTATGATATATCCAGGGATGCTAAAGCATGAGAATACCTCCTTCACCCCTTTATTTTGTGTGTGTATGTGTGTGTGTGTGTGTGTGTGTGAGGCAATTGGGGTTAAGTGACTTGCCCAGAGTCACATAGCTAGTGTTATGTGTGTGAGGCCGAATTTGAACTCGGGTCCTCCTGTCTCCAGGGCTGGTGCTCTTATCAACTGCGCCACCTACCTGCCCCATGAACCTCTTTTTAATAGAAAAAAATTACGGACCCCTCCACCACTCACAGGGTGCATTTTGCTAGCGCTGAAGCTCAAAACGATAATATGAATATGGATTTTCAAACCCTTTGCAATAATTCCAGAAACACCGGGGAGTTCAGATTACCACCTATTTGGGAATTAATCATGTGACATATATTGTATTTTCTTGTGCTGTTACTCAATGCTCATGTGTCATTTAATCTTTCATATGTTTTCATGTTCCTGCATTTGACTGTGAGTGCCGTAAAATAACAGGATCTTAAATATGCACATTGAAGTTACTTGGACAAGTGAAAAGGGAAACCAGGATCTTTTCTATTTCTAATACTCTGACCTCATGAATCCTCAGCCTCCTCAACTTCAACCACATTCATCCCCATTCTATTTTATTTAGCCACCAGGTTAGATGAATCATGCCTTGGGCCTCAGGAACATTTGGCACTGCTCCAACTCTAAAGTCTGCAACTCTTAAATTTCCTACTCTGATCACAATCTAACTCTCCACCTTGCCATTCCTACCAAACCTGCTGCCCAAAATCACAATAATGTTCATTCTGTCCCCTCAACTTTCACTGCTGCTGTGGCGCCACCCAGGCTTGACCCTATAGGTCACCTATTTCAGTGACATCAGGCATCACCTGAGAATCCTTTGCCTCTTTCACTTTCCATACTGATCCATCACCAACCCTGAATAACACTTGGCTAGTAGAAAGTCACAAGATGGGGGGTGGAGCCAAGATGGCAGAGTAAAAGCAGTGCCTTGCTTGAGCCCTCCCCCAAACCCCTCCAAATACCTGTAAAAAAATGGCTCTAAACAAATTCTAGAGCAGCAGAACCCACAAAAAGACAGTGAAACAAATTTCCAGCCCAAGAAAACCTGGATGGTTGATGGGAAAGGTCTGTTATGATGGGCTGGGAGAGAAGCATAGTTAAGCATGGGCCAGGAAGCCAAAGACAGGGCCTCAGGGAACCTGAAGCAGGCCTCAGGGGACTGAATCACTGGCAGCTGTAGCGGTTTCCAGACTTCTCAACCCAAAAATATCAAAGACAACTTAGAAGGTCACTAGGAAAATCTGTGAGACCTGGGTGAGAGAGGATCTTGGTCAGGCTCCAGTCCTGGCACAGCCTCAGGGCAGCGGCTACTTCTGGACCTCTCAGCCCATAGATGGTGGGGGGATTGAGTGGTTGATCAGAGGGGGATTGCAGGGATCTCTTTGCTGGCGTAGAGGCAGGATTCTCTTGCTTTGCCTGCGCTTGGATCTGGGTCATAGTCCTGGGTGGTGAACCTGGGGTAAGGAGGAGTGCTGGCACGGCAAAGCTTGTGGCAGCGGTGGAAAGGGAATCCTCCTTCCAGTTCCAAGGCAGAAAAGAGTGCTTGTGGTCACTCATAAGCCACAGCACAGGCCAGGAAAGGAGTAAAAACCTCTCCTTTGATCATATCACCTAGGAAGAACTGAAAATTTACATCTCTCTACAAGTATCTCTGAAAATAGCTGCACAATACCCCAGAAGCTTGGGGAAGTACATCCTCCACACTGGAAGCAGACCCTTACCTTAACAAAAAGTTTATAACTCAAGTAATTGGCTAGCAACATAAGCAAACAGCACAAAAAAACTCAGACTACAGAATCTTACTTTGGTGACAAAGAAGATCAAAACATACAGTCAGAAGAAGACAACAAAGTCAAAGCTCTTACATCCAAAGCCTCCCAAAAAAAATATGAATTGGTCCCAGTCTATGGAAGAGCTCAAAAAAGGATTCTGAGAAGCAAGTAAGTGAAGTAGGAAAAATTGGGAAGAGAAATGAGAGTGATGCAAGAAAATCATGAAAAACAACTCAATAGCTTGCTAAATGAGACCCAAAAAAAAACACTGAAGAAAATAACACCTTAAAAATAGACTAACTCAAATGGCAAAAGAGGTTCAAAAAGCCAATAAGAAGAAGAATGCCTCAAAAACCAGAATTGGCCAAATGGAAAAGGAGGTCCAAAAGATCACTGAAAAAAATAATTCCTTAAAAATTAAAATGAAGGGAGGTGGAGCCAAGGTGGCAGAGTAAAAGCAGTGACTTACTTGAGCTCTCCCCTAAACCCCTCCAAATACCTGTAAAAAAGTCTCTAAACAAATTCTAGAGCAGCAGAACCCACAAAAAGATAGAGTAAAACAAACTTCCAGCCCAAGACAACCTGGAAGGTTGATCAGAAAGGTATATAGCGCCAGGTGGGGAGAGGAACGCAGTTACACATGGGCGAGCAGGCAAAACAGGCCTCAGCAAACCTCGAGCAGCCCTCAGAGGACTGAATCACACGCAGCTATGGTGGTTTCCAGACTTCTCAACCCACAAACAACAAAGACAACTTAGAAGGTAAGTAGGAAAAGTCTGTGACCCCAGTGAGAGACAAGCTGGTCCCAGCCCCAGTCCTGGCGCAGCCCCAGTGCGGCAGCTGCTTCCTGAGCTTCCAGTCCACAGACTGAGGGGGAATCAAGTGGCTGATCAGAGGGGGATTGCAAGGATCTCTTTGCTGGTGCAGGATTCTCTTGCTTTGCCCATGCTGAGATCTGGGTCACAGTTCTGAGGGGTGGTCCTGGGGCGAGGAGGAGTAGCACTGGCTTGGTGGAACTTGCTATGGCTGTGGAGAGGAAATCCTCCTCACAGTTCCAAGGCAGAAAACAGTGCTTGTGGTCACTCATAGACCACAGTACAGGCCAGGAAAGGAGTAAACATCTCATCCTTGATCACACCACCTTAGAAAAACTGAAAATTTACAAGTCCTTAGAAGTATCTCTGAAAACAGCTACACAAAACCCCTGAAGCTTGGGACAGTACACTCTCCACACTGGAAGCAGACCCCTACCTTAACAAAGAGTTTATAACTCAAGTAATTGGCTGGGATCATGAGCAAACTTCACAAAAAAAGTCAGACCATAGAATCTTTCTTTGGTAACAAAGAAGATCAAAACATATAACCAGAAGACAACAAGTCAAAGCTCCTACATCCAAAGCCTCCAAGAAAAATATGAATCAGTCCCAGGCCATGGAAGAGCTCAAAAAGGAGTTTGAGAAACAAGTAAGAGACATAGAGGAAAAACTGGAAAGAGAAATGAGAGTGATGTAAGAAAATCATTAAAAACAAGTCAACAGCTTGCTAAAGGAGACCCAAAAAAATACTGAAGAAAATAACACCTTAAAAAATAGCCTAACCAAGGGGGCAGATAGGTGGCACAGTGGATAGAGCACCAGCCCTGAAGTCAGGAAGACCTGAGTTCAAATCCGGCCTCCGACCAAACACTTGACACTTACTAGCTGTGTGACCCTGGGCAAGTCACTTAACCCCAATTGTCTTAAAAAAAAAATAGCCTAACCCAAATGGCAAAAGAAGTCCACAAAGCCAATGAGGAGAAGAATGCCTTAAAAAAGTAAAATTGGCCAGATGGAAAAGAAAGTCCAAAAGTTCACTGAAGAAAATACTTCCTTAAAAATTAGAATGGAGCAATTGGAAGCTAGTGACTTTATGAGAAATCAAGACACTTGTAAAACAAAACCAAAAGAATGAAAAAAATAGAAGACAATGTGAAATATCTCACTGGAAAAACAACTGACCTGGAAAATAGATCCAGGAGAGAGAATTTTAAAATTATTGGACTATCTGAAAGCCATGATTTAAAAAAAGAGCCTAGACATCATCTTCCAAGAAATTATCAAGGAAAACTGCCTTGATATTTTAGAACCAGAGGGCAAAATAGAAATTGAAAGAATCCACCGAAGCCCTCCTGAAAGAGATCCCCAAAGGGAAACTCCAAGGAATATTGTAGTCAAATTTCAGAGTTCCCAGATCAAGGAGAAAATATTACAAGCATCCAGAAAGAAACAATTCAAGTATTGTGGACACACAATCAGGATAACACAAGATTTAACAGCTTCTACATTAAGGGACCATAGGGCATGGAATATAATACTCTGGAGGGCAAAGGAAATAGGATTACAACCAAGAATCACCTACCCAGCAAAACTGAGTATAATCCTTCAGGGGTAAAAATGGATATTCAGTGAAATCGAAGACTTTCAAGCATTCTTGATGAAAAGACTAGAGCTGAATAGAAAATCTGACTTTCAAATACAAGACTCAAAAGAAGCATGAAAAGGTAAACAGGAAAGAGAAATCGTAAGGGACTTGTTAAAGTTGAACTGTTTACATTACTACATGGAAAGATGATATTTGTAACTCATGAGACCTTTCTCAGTATTAGGGTAGTCAGAGGGGAAAATATATATAGAGAGAGAGATATAGATATAGATAGAGGGCACAGGGTAAATTGAATATGAAGGGATGATATCCAAAAAATAAAATTAAGGGGTGAGAGAGGATTATACTGGGAGAAGGAGAAAGGGAGAGGTAGAATGGAATAAATTATCTCACATAAAACAGACAAGAAAAAGCTTTTACAGTGTAGGGAAAGTGGGGGGAGTTGAGAGGGAATGGGTGAATCTTACTCTCATTTGATTTGGCTTACGGAGAGAATAACATACACACTCAATTGGGTATGGAAATCTATCTTACTCTACAGGAAAATAAGGGGAAGGGGATAAGAAGTGGGGATAATAGAAGGGAGGGCAGATTGGGGGAGGGGGTAATCAGAAGCAAATACTTCTGAGGAGGGACAGGGTCAAAAAAGAGAATAGAATAAACAGGGGGAGGAGTGGGGCTGGGACAGGATGAAGGGAAATATAGTTAGTTTTTCCTAACATGACTATTATGGAAGTGTTTTGTATGACTACACATGTATAACCTATATCGAGTTGCTTACCTTCTCAATGAGAGTGGGTGGGGAGGGAGGAAGGGAGAGAATTTGGAACCCAAAGTTTTAAAAAGAAATGTTAAAAAGTTTTACATGGAACTGGGAAATAAGATACACAGGCAATGGAGTATAGAAATCTATCCTGCCCTACAGGAAAATAGAAGGAGAAGGGGATAAGAGAAGTAGGGGGGGAGGGGTGATAGAAGGGAGGGCAGATTGGGGGAAGGGATATGCAGAATGCATGCCGTCTTGGGGTGGGGGAGGGGAGAAATGAGGAGAAAATTTGGAACTCAAAATCTTGTGAAAGTGAATGTTGAAAACTAAAAATTAATTAACTAAAAAAGAAAAAGATAAAAAAGAAAAAAAAAAGAAAAAAAAGGTACAAACTGTACCCAGTGGGTGAGTAGGTTCAAAATAACCATGTCAACATCAGGCTGGGTCTCTCACTAAAACTTACTCCATCTATCACATTTCCCATATATTTTCTACCTTTTTTTTTTAAGTTAAAAATTCCTTGATTTTTTTTATTCCTAGTACAACCACCACAATTCACAGGGCAATATACCTGATGAAATAAAAAGAAAAAACAAAGCTACAACAGATAAAAGACCTCAGGAATGTACATCTAATTGACACTACATTGCATTAATCAATAGCTGAACTTTTTGCAAACTGTGGCTATGATAGTCCTGAATAAGAAGGGTTTCCTGTTTAAGCTGCAGTAACTTTTCTGACTGTGATCATCATTCCTTCTGTGGCAGAATTTTATAGTTCCTCTAATGCATTCGTGATGACTGTCTCAAAGTAACCTGCAGCTTTTTTGACAACTCCTTACTCTCTCCTGCTCCCTCTTCTGTTGAGTTTTTAGAACCTTCTGCTACCACATCCACCACTTCCACCACCAGATCCATAACCACCACAAGGACTGCCTGAACTCCTTTCACCAAAACTGCCTCCTTTCTTGGGTCCATAATTTGACTGCTGCTGTCCACTATAATTTCCAAAATCATTATAGTTCCCACCGCCACCACAGTTACCATCACCAAAATTTCCTCCTTCATTTTAACTATCATATCCTCCTCCACTCCCACCATATCCAGAACCTTGGTTTCCATATCTAGGTCCACCAAGACCACCATAACCCCTTGTACTATTGTAGCCAGGACCACCTCCATAGTTGCCATCATCTCCACCAAATCCATTGTATCCACCATCTCCACCAAATCCATTGTATCCACCATCTCCACCTCCATAACTGCCTCTGCTGCCACCATCACCACCACCATAACCACCTCTTCCACCAAAGTTTCCTCCTCCACCCAAGGAGGAACTGCTGGAGCCACCTCCATGACCTCTTTGTGAGCCAGCAGACTGCATCTCTTGCTTCACTTCAGTTACGCCCATTAATAGCATATTTCTGAACAACAATTTTGTCAACTGTATCATGATCATCAAAAGTTACAAAAGCAAAACCTTTCTTCTTTCCACTCTGTCGATCTTCCATAACTTCTACAGTTTCAATCTTGCCATACCATTCAAATCTTAAATTATATTCTTCTGTATCTTCTTTAATACCACCAACAAAAATTTTCTTCACAGTTAGATGTGCACCATGTTTTAGAGAATCCTCTCTGGAAACAGCTCTCTTTTGTTCCACTACACACCCATCAACCTTAGGTGGCCCAGCACAGGCTGCTGCATCTACCTCTTCTACGCTAGGATAAGTTGCAAAGCCAAAGCCTCGGGAACTTTTTGTTTGGGGACCCCTCATCACCACACAATATGTGACAGTGCCAAATTTTTCAAAGTCTTCTCTTAAGCTATCATCCAGAGTTTCAAAGTTCAAGCCACCAATAAACAGTTTTCTCAACTGCTCTGGTTCTTTTGGATCATGACCCTGCTCCCCCAAACCCTCCCCATGAAGGCGACAAGAGTCGGGCACAGGGGGGTCACCTAGCTGTTTTACCTCCATTTTGAAAACGGACCCAGATTTCTTTTCTGCTAAAGTGGAAAGAGCTCTGGCTTTCAAGACAAAGCACATGGGCTCTGATCCTGCCTCTGATGATTACTGCCCAGGCAACTAGCTGTTGTACCACACACGGCTCTGGGCCTGTGGTCAGGAAGACTCCAGTTCAAATCCAGCGTCAGACACTAGCTGTGTGACCCTGGGCAAGTTACTGACCCTCTTTGCCTCAGTTTCCCCAACTATTAAATGGGGATAATAATAGCACCTACAACCCATGATTGCTGTGAAGGTCAAATAAGACAATAATTGTAGCGGCACATAGTAGGTGCTATATAAATGCTTATGACTTCTTTCATACCCATACTCACCATTCAGAGGCAAAAACACAATTGTCAAGATCACAGGCTTCTAAATTGACACTGGAATCTGGCGATTTCTCTGAGCTCGTAAGTAACTGAGGCATTCCTCACTCCAGGGATGTTCCCACACTCCCGCCTCCCCGACCCCTCCTCCACGGCCCAGACTCGGTTCTCACCTACACTTCCGGACTACATTTCCCGGGGTGATAGAGACAAAGGTAACACTGTCAAGCGGTTGCTATAGTGACAGGCTTGGGCGGCACGTGACTCCACCAGAGTCCATGCTCCGCCCCGGGCTGGCTCTACACAAGAGGGCGTAGGTCCACACTACACGGACCCGCTGCAGCCACTGCTACTACCCAAACGCTTCACTGAGTCAGGGAGCTCAAGGCTCAGAGTCCAGCACACAAAGGAAGCTGGCTGCACGTCCCCAGAGACCAGCGCCGCCCGGATTGCTGGGAAACGTAGTCGGAGGAAACGGACGTCCCGAGGACCCGGAGGCTTCTGGGAATCGTAGTCCAGCGACAGCTCGTACGAGCGCCCATGACATCCTGTGCGCCCCAGCTGTAGATGCTTAAGCCCTTCTCCCTCTAAGGGAAGTGTCCTCCTGCAGCTCTGTGTGTTAAGCGAGTCCTGGCTCCTCCACCTAGAAGAGGACGGCCCCTCCCCCTCCTGCCTCCTTGCCTCCTTACCTCCTTGCCCACAGGGAAGATGGCAGTGGGGATGAAGCGTAGGAGTTTAGCGCCGGGAAATCGGGCTGGTCCCGCGCCGGTGACGTCATCGCGGCGGGTGGGGGGGCGGGTCGGCCTGGCTCAGAGAAAGGGGGAGGCCTTGGCTTGGGCCGTTTTCTTGGAGGTGACCCTCCGGTCCGCGCTGCCTAACTCGCGGGGCTCCCTGCGGGCGCGGGAGCAAAGGTCCGCCCGCGCCTTTGTCGGGGCCCCACCGGCCCTGCCGTCCACCGGCTCTCTCCAGATTTGGGGGGCACGTGTTTACCCAACCCTGTCTTCTTCAGGCCCTGGGGTTCGCTCTTCTGTTCCATTCACCTTTTTCTGTCTACACCTCCCGCCCCCTGTACCAGGCAGCTTTTATACCTATTCCTCTGGGTAACCTTTGGAAATCCAGCAATAACAATAGCCAGTGTTTTTAAATCTGAAAAGAAAGCCCATTCTGAAGAAATAATGTCTCTTCTACACCGCCATCCTGGCATGTGGGGACAGTTATTATCCCCATTTTACAGATCAGAAAACTCCGGCAAGACAGAGTGACAGACCAGTACGTGTCTGAGGCTGGATTTGCGTTCAGGTTTTCATGA